CGTCCCTCCGCGTTTGATATTCTCAAGTCTAACACTTTGCCTTCCTAGGGACATTAGTGCATTGATCTAACCTTTCGTATCTTGCAGAAATATTTCTTAATGATGCTAGTGTCTAACTCTCTTGTTTAACTCATTGGCATATCTAATTGTTTTCAAGTTGTCTTTTGCGTCCAAATTTTTATTGTAGACTCTTCAGCATGATGATCTTCTTGCTATAAAATTACAAACCTTTTCGTTCATAAAGGCGATAAGCTCATAAAATGTTCATATCTTTTGAAAATAGATTTTGCATGAAGATTTTGCCTATCTATATCACTAATTCCATTCGAAATTTATCAAGATGGACATTTCAATGAATGATGTGGAATTGATTGCACTACAAAAAAACAAGGATTTAGCCACGAAAAATTTTTCGTGGCTAATTTGTAACGGATTTTGCGACGATAACTAAATTCGTCGCTATAGCGACGAAAAATTTTTCGTGGCTAATTTGCGACGGAATTAGCCACGCAAAATTTATCGTGGCTAATTTGCCACGAAAATTTTTCGTGGTTAATTTTCGACGGAATTTGCGACGAAAATTTTGCGTGGCTAATTTTTGCGACCTAATTTGTCACCAAAAATTTTTCGTGGCTAATTTTACAACGGAATTTGCCACGAAAAATTTTTCCTTGGCTAATTTGCGACGGAATTTTTCACGAAAAATTTTCCGTGGCTAATTTGCGATGGCAAAAAAAAATTGTCACTAATTTTGCAACGGAATTTGCTACGAATACGGAATTTGTCGCTAAATTTGTGACGATAAATAACTTTCATTATGTCCCACCCCATCTCCAATTTCTCTCTCTCTCTTGATTCCTCATATCCCGCTCGCTATTCTCCATCCCTCTCCCTCTTTCGTTTCTCTCGAGAAACTTCTTTGCACTTGCGCAAATCAATCTCAGTAAAGCTTTTTCACCGGTAAGTATCGTGACTAATTGGCTTCGTCGCAAAACTATTCATAACTGGATTCGATTTTTTTTTATTTTATTGACTTTTTTTTTCTTTTTCTGTTTTTTTCCTAACTTGTTCCCCGGTCGCCGGGCGCAGGACCGGCGACCGGCGAGAACTCGCCGGCCATGGGCGAGATCGAGCAACCTCGCCATGGCCGCTCGACCTCGACCAGACGTGGGCGAGGTCGAGCGGCCTCGCCATGGCCGCCCGACCTCGCCGTCGTCACAGATGGCGAGGTCGGGCGGCCATGGCGAGGTCGCTCAACCTCGCCGGCCTCAGCTAGTTGCCGGTCTAGGCGACGGCGAGGTCAGGCGGCCATGGCGAGGCCGCTCGACCTCGCCGGCCTCAGTTGGTCGCCGGTCGCGGGACCGGCGACCGGCGAAGAATATAGGAAAAAAAAACAAAAAGAGAAAAAAAAATAAAAATAAAAATTCGGAAAGAAAATAAAAAATTATTAAAAAATGAATTTTAAGTAATTTTTTTTTTAGGTACGTGTCGATTTGAGGTCTCGCAATACAAGTGAACGTTGCAATTACCATCAAATTGACCACTACTACAAAGATTGCAGTCAAATACTTGGGTAAGTCTTCTTGACATGGTAATTTTTTCAATTTCAAAGTAATTGTTTTGTCATAAACAAAATTTTATGGTTTTAATTAAGAATATTAAACAATAGATATCATATTGTTAATATTTTATTAGATTTTTTTTATTTTTATACAGACACAATGCAAAGAAACAGGGCTTGGATGTATAATAAGAACTTACCTGGACGTCAAGGATTGACTGATGAGTTTCGTACTGGGTTGGAACTATTTTTGGACTTTGCTAGTGGTAAATATGAGTTAATGGATGGAAATAAGTTAAGGTGTCCGTGTAAAAAGTGCAGTAATGGTAAATTTCATGTGTGTGATAAAGTTAGAGAACATCTTTGTAGATTTGGGTTTACTCCGAACTACTATAATTGGACTTGCCATGGTGAACCATTTATATCTGATGAAGGATATGGAACAAGTGGCCAATCTTTAGTTAGGGAAGAATGTAGCTATTACGACCAATTGAACCCGTACTAGAGGATGGTGATTGATGCAGCTGGTCATAATTTTGTTTCAGAATCGAACCATGCAAGTACTAGTTTTACTCCTACACTTGAACAAGTGGGTACTAGTCATGCATCACAATTGGAAAAGATAGGAGTTACAGATTTTGATGAAAATGTGTGTAATGAAACTTTTCCATCTAATCGGTTTTGAGAAGTGTTAAAAGCAGCAGATGAACCTTTATGGGTAGGTTATGACAACCATACTAGGTTATCAGCGATATCAAGACTGTTAAATATCAAGGCAGAGTATAATGTGTCTGAGAATTGCTTCAACTCTTTTGTTGAAGTAATGCAGGAAACAATGCCTCCTGATAACATCATGCCAAATGATTTTTACGATATGAAGAAGCTAGTGGATAGCTTAGGTCTTCCAGTTGTAAGGATTGATGTATGTAGTAGGGGTTGTATGTTATATTGGAGAGATGATGAAAATGCAGAATTTTGCAAATTCTGTAACCAACCTAGGTACAAGATTAACATAAGGCAGGGTCGTAATCAAAAGCGTAGACCATGCAATCAAATGTTTTATCTGCCTTTAATCCCCAGATTGCAAAGGCTTTATGCGTCTCAAGCCACTGCTGAACACATGACTTGGCATGCAAATCATGAAATAGAAGAGGATCTAATGTGTCATTCTTCAGATGCAGAGGCATGGAAACATTTTGATAGAACATACCCTAAGTTTGCATTAGAGCCTCGAAACATCAGGTTAAGTCTATGTGCTGATGGATTTGCCCCATTTGGGAAATCAGGAAAAAATTATTCATGTTGGCCAGTTATCTTTAACTCCATACAATCTTCCACCCGGTATGTACATGAAGACACCTTATATGTTTTTGACATTGATCGTGACTGGCCCGCAAAATCCGAAAAAGTTGATAGATGTTTATATGCAACCATTGATTGAAGAGTTACGACGGCTATGGGATGAAGGTGTCCTTACATATGATGTTTCTACTGATCAATGGTTTGTAATGAAGGCTGCTCTTCTTTGGACAATAAATGACTTTCCAGCTTATGGAATGTTATCTGGATGGAGTACAGCTGGGATCTTAGGATGTCCGATATGTTTAGAGCGATCAAAGTCATTTAGATTAAGACATGGTAAGAAGCCCAGCTATTTCGACTGTCATAGACAATTTTTGCCGATAAATCATACATTCAGAAGGAATAAGAAAGAGTTCATCAAGGATAGGATTGAAAGAACACGTCCACCATTGAGGTTGACCGGTCATCAAATTTGGGAGCGAGTGCAGGACTTTCCGACTGTTGTTGAAAACCCTCATGGCACAACTATTGCGTACGGAAGTACACATAAGTGGACTAAACGCAGTATATTTTGGGATCTACCATACTGGAAGGCTCATCTTATTCATCATAATCTTGACATCATGCACATAGAAAAGAATGTTTTCGATAATGTCATAAATACTGTGATGGATGTCACTGGAAAAACAAAAGACAACTTGAATGCAAGAAAAGATATGAGAGATATTTGTGATCGGCCAACACTAGATGTCGATGCAAGCAGTAGGGGACCAAAACCCAAAGCAGTTTATACATTGGACAAGGAGCAGAGACGGGTCGTTTGTCAATGGTTGAAATCTGTGCGGTTTCCTGATGGATATGCTTCGAACATTGGGAGATGTGTTGATTTGAATGAATGCAAAATGACAGGTTTGAAGAGTCATGATTGTCACATATTTATGGAAAGATTAATTCCAATAGCTTTCAAGGAACTTCTACCAAACTTTGTATGGAGCGCCATTACAGAGTTAAGTAATTTCCTTCATGATATTTGCTCAACGATGTTAAAAGTATCACACATGGAGAAATTAGAGAGAGACCTTCCAATTATTCTTTGCAACTTAGAAATGATATTTCCTCCATCGTTTTTTGATTTAATGGAGCATCTCTTAGTTCACTTGCCTTATGAGGCCAAAGTTGCAGGTCCCGTCCAATTTCGATGGATGTACCCATTTGAGAGGTGAGATATTTTTTAAAATAAATTTCAAATTACTTTATTATATATTATGTTCTGATAAACTTCTTTCTATTGCAACTAGATTCTTATATCATTTGAAGAAAAAAGTGAAGAATAAGGCATGCGTTGAAGCTTCAATTTGTAATGCATATATTGTGGAAGAAGTGACAATATTTGCATCATACTATTTTGAGCCGCACGTGCAGTGCAAGAGGCGGAGAGCAGGAAGAAATGATGAGGGCCCCATTGATCCCAATTGCAAATCATTCTCTATTTTCAATTATCTCGGTCGACCAAGCGGCGCATGTACGGTTCGTTGCTTAACAGGCGAAGAATGACAGGCAGCCCATACATATATTTTACTGAACTGTCCAGAAGTGAAGCCATACTTCGAGTAAGTGTACATTGACAAATATATGCATTGTGTGTCAAATATTTGTTAATATATAAATGGTATTTGTTAATAGGATTTTTCAAACTTCAATATATGGACTACCATCAAATGAGTTTGACCGTTTGTGCGATGAACAATTTGCAGTATGGTTCAAAACATATGTAAGTTGCCTATGGACGAAAACCAAGTTATTAATACATCACTTATTAAAATATATATTATTGACTTTGCGTGTGTGATCCTAAGTTCACAGTAATCATGATCTTATTTTCATGGCTAAATACATGGCTAATTAGCCACGTATTAAATTCGTGGCAAAATTCGTGGCTAATTAGCCACGTATTTAGCCACGAAAATAAAATAAAGTCCGAAAAGGTGTCGATACTTTTTTTCGTGGCTAAATCTGTGACTAATTAGCCACGAATTTTGGCACGTATGAAATCCGTGGAAAATATTTCCGCTCAATGCCGCCAAGAAAATTTCGTCGAAAAATTTTTTGCGCGCAAAACATAAAAATAAGAAACCCTTCTTAGAACAAGAAGCCCCCTCTTCAGAAACACCACTTGCTTCCCCTCTTCACAAACCCTAACAATCATCTTCATCTTCATCATCTTCTCTTGCAGTTGTCTACCCCCAAAATAACTACCCCAACATCACTCGCTCGGCTCATTCAAGCAATTGCTCTGTTTTTCCGCACTTCCTGTGGCTAGCTGGTGTTCGCTTCGCTACATCACCTCTAGCTTTTGAGGCCTTCGTCACTCCGGCGCGATTGCAGGCGGCTCTTTCCGGCGCGACTGCAGGCGGCTCTTGCTTGTCGTTCGATTTTTTTCATCTCCTGTGACTCACCAGCTCTCTCTCGGCTCTCAGTTCACTCTCCCGTCCGCCCGGTGAGTCTCGCACGATCGTATTTTGTCACTCGTCTCCTCGCCCGAGCCCGATTAGGGTGGCCCTCGCGCAGATCGACGAGCATCCCTCCCCGATCTGCGTGAGGGCCACTCGGGCGAGCATTTATAAGGTAACTGAAGTCGTAATTTGTTATCATCACATAGGGAATCGCTAGTTCCAGATGGGTTTTGCTATTTGTAGCTGGGGTTTATTTTTATTGTCATTTGGCAAGAGGAGGTGGTTTTTGCTGGAAATAGCAGGACCTTGCCTGTGAAAGCTTTGGCAGTTTAGGATTCCTATGAACGTTGTCCTTAGTACAAGCAAATGGGTCCTTATTTTTATGTCTCTGATCTCTCTCTCTCTCTGGCCCGACATTGGGACTTGCATCCGTGGGTGGAGGAGAAGTATAATTGTTCTTGAATCTGCTCCACTGAAGTTTTGTATTACTAAAGCGTGATCAGATCTTGTTTTTTCTTCTTTCCTATTAAATTTCTTTCTCAGTATCTTTGTTTGGTTGGTGACATTGCCCGGATGATAAGCAAGAAGAGCGCTTTAGTTGCATTTCTGACTGTTCATCATTATTTTACACATAATAGTTGAGGCCAGTCAATGTGCTTCTCGTGTTGTTTGACTTTGAGCTAAAAGAGTATTTTCCAGATCTCCCTTTCGGCGCTGCGCTACAGCTGAGTCGTGCTCTCCTTTTCCTTGCGCCAGTGGGTGTTTAACGTTCGAATTTTTCGTTCTGGTATTGCATATACATGCATGGTCATCAGAGGAAGAGCTTGCTGAGAAGCAAGAGGTCTTCTTTTTCTTCTTCTTCCTGTGGTACTTGTGGAGCAGCACTGCAGATCTTGGCACGTGGTGAAAGTAAATCGTTCATGGGCTTATTATTAGCTTATGAAGTAAATCGATCACGGGTGATTTCACAAAACACTTTCTTGGTCTTTTCTCGAGCAGATTAGGTACAATAAATTTTTTATCCTCATCAGTCATGGAGACAAAGTTTAATATAAGGGAATGTCCTGCCTGGTTCTTATGGGTCATGTCCTGATCTGGCCGGCACCATGCTTTGATCAAATGGGGCACCTTGGCTTAAAGGAAGAGGGAGAGGGAGAGAGATGAGTTTGTAATAGTTGGCATATGAGATGGATGGGGAAATTAATGAATGTAGGTGAGGCCAACCATATATTAAGGAGTGGGTGGAAGTTGGGGGCAATTAAGCCAAGCTATATCTGCCCTATTGCTATTGACATTTGCTTGGCTTGCCTCAGCTTCAACTGCATTCTTCTCTTCCCTATTGATGCAATAGGATTTCATTAGGAACAGGTTTCTTATCCTTATTTAATAACTTGGCATTTGTTTATTCATTCTTCAGAGGAGGATCCACCCTCAAGTTTATCTCTTGCTTTCTGAAACAAAATGGTAAGCTTCATGACGTACGTCATTTTGTGTCCCTAATACATGTTCATATTTTTTAATATATTTGTCTAACCTTCTTACTTGTCAGTATAAACGTGGAGGTCACATGCGTGGTGCGGTATCACAAAGAAGACCAGCCCCTTCACCTTCCTCGTCCTCGTCCCCGGTCCTTTCCTCTTCCCCTGTCCTTTCATCTAACCCTCAACCACTACATGTTGATGGACAACATGGACACATTGGCCCATCCTCCGAACCTGAAGAACATATTTCAGTTCCATCTCCTTCGATTGCATGTCCTTCGGTTCCACCTTCTTCTTCAGTGCAACACTCGAATGTTGAAGAAGATAGCCGATTCATGATATGCCCATGTGGAGATTCGTAAGTACTTCATTTTTTAATGTATATGTAAATTATGGATGTCAACTGAATTGTCTATGCTGCAAATTATCCGTATGCTTCATTGTTTCATTGACTATATTATTATAACCTGTTTGCAGATTCACGGATGCCACCTATGTTGTGAGGGAACTTAATAAAATAGTCAATAACTGTTGGATGGGGCAGTATATTAGTTTCAGCAGTGCTCCAAAAGAAGTAAAGAATTTGTGGTGGAATGAGTTCAAGGTAAGTTTTGTCATTCTATTTTCTCACAAACTAAGTTCGGTGTAGCTGTTTCACCAGAAAATGCTCCCGCGGCGAAATATAATTCATCGAAAATCGTTCTTCGGTTCTTAATGTGAGGAGACCGGGTTCCGTGGTGACTCCGGACAGGAAATATCCAGGGAGACAAGGAAAAACGGCGAACTTTTACTCCGAACTTCGAACTGGACTATATGTACAAATCGTGCCGCAATTTAATCGACGACAAAGCTTGAAAATACAGCCGCACACGTACACAAAGATGTAACGCCGAAATTTAATCGACGACGCAACACTCGGGATAGAGATACACGCCGGAATTTAATCGACGACGCGAATCGGAAAGCTACAGCTAAGGAAAGATAAAGTGCGGTACATGAAAGTAAAGATAATTGAAAGATAACATGTTGTTTGATTTTGTCGGGTCCTTTCTCCGGTAGATGGCCAGTGATATTTATAATGGTCGTGTGGTAACTGCTCCTTAGCAGTTTTCAACAGTTGTGCCCATGTTTTTCCATTCCGAAAATCTTGTCTTCATGTCCATGTGATGCCATGATTATGCTTTCAAGATAACTATCTCACGATTTTGTCCGCAAGTGATAACTTCCTCATAATCATGGTTTCAAGTAATTGTTCTCGCATGTATGCTCCTTAGTGGTTTTCAACAGTTACGTTGAATCCACTACCTTGACGGTTTTCTTTTTACTCCACTACGTTGGCGGTTGCTTTGACTCCACTATGTTGACGGTTACTTCTTCTTTCTGCATCTCCAACCAGTCACAACCGTCGACTTCCTCTTAATGTCGAAAACTCTGCAGTGATTTTCTGAGTAAACTCAAAACATAAAAGTTGTAGATATGAGTCTTCGTTCTTTTGGCTTTGGAATCAGGTCAATCCGATCTGTCTCGAAGAAGTTATGACCATTTTCCCGAGCTAGCGCAGAACTGAAATTTGGTCGAAGTCCTCGACAAGATGAAGTCACGACCGTCGATTTCCTTTAACCTTGATGGCTTCTACAGTGATTTTCTGAGAAAACTAAAAACATAAAGTTGTAGATCCATGAGTCTTCGTTCTTTTGACTTTGGAATCAGGTCAATCCGATCTGTCTCGAAGAAGTTATGATCATTTTCCCGAACTAGCGCAGAACTGCAATTTCGTCGAAATATCGACAAGATGTCGAAGTCCTCGACAAGATGTAGTCACGATCGTCGACTTCCTTTAACCTTGATGGATTCTACAGTGATTTTCTAAGAAAACTCAAAACATAAAGTTGTAGATCCATGAGTCTTCGTTCTTTTGGCTTTGGAATCAGGTCAATCCGATCTGTCTCGAAGAAGTTATGACCATTTTCCCGAACTAGCGCAGAACTGCAATTTCGTCGAAGTATCGACAAGATGAAGTCACGACCGTCGACTTCCTTTAATCTTGATGGCTTCTACAGTGATTTTCTGAGAAAACTCAAAACATTAAAGTTGTAGATCCATGAGTCTTCGTTCTTTTGGCTTTGGAATCAAGTCAATCCGATCTGTCTCGAAGAAGTTATGACCATTTTCCCGAACTAGCGCATAACTGCAATTCCGTCGAAGTATCGACAAGATGTCGAAGTCCTCGACAAGATGAAGTCACGACCGTCGACTTCCTTTAACCTTGATGGCTTATACAGTGATTTTCTGAGAAAACTCAAAACATAAAAGTTGTAGATTCATGAGTCTTCGTTCTTTTGGCTTTGGAATCAGGTCAATCCGATCTGTCTCGAAGAAGTTATGACCATTTTCCCGAGCTAGCGCAGAACTGAAATTTCCTTGATGAAGTCGTGACCAGTTTTGTCAATAATACCCAAAAATTGATCATTTTTTGGTGTAAATATATACACATGACACATGTCTCTGACATGTGTCCCTTATGTTGGCAACTTGATGATATTTGCTTCCACGTTACCTCAAGTCTCCATCATGTGTCCCTTGATGATCTTTGGCACAAACAAACCATGTCGACAAGTTGGCTATTTTTTGGTGTAAACAGTAGCATACTAATGGTCAAGAATGAATTTTGTCACGAATTATCTGGTGCATGGTAATGGATATGTGACCTGTGACCCTCATAATAACTTTCGGTTGTTTTTGTATTGATTGTAGCGGAAGTTCAGGTGGAATGAAATGGAAGAGAATGAAGTTAAAAGAATTTTTAAGAAGAAAGCCGGTGATCACATGCGAAATGTGATGAATAAAGCAAAGAGAAATCAACGAAAGCCGGATTTTATTACAGCCGACAATTAGATGGAAATTACGAGAACTTGGGAAACTGAGAAGCATAAGCAAATAAGTGAACAGAATAAGAAGAATTGAGCTTCTAGTTCTAGTGAAGGGTCTGCGTCTGCCACATATGCTGGGGGCTCTATCAAAATCGGGGAGCATAGAAAAAGAATGGTAAGTTTGTTTAAACATGTTGTAAGTTAATTTAATTCAATGATTACTCATTTATGTTTATATTTTGTAGGCAGATGAATTGAGGACGGAACCGACATTTACAGCTGCATTTGAACGCACATTTCAGAAAAAAGACAAGACGTGGACTGGCGATCGAGCAAAAGCTATTAAGGTATGTAAGGTTTATACTTTGGACTTTATGGAAACTATAATGAAAACCATGAATAGTTTTAATACTTATGGTAGTTATATATATGAATTTATTTTATTTTCATCTATATTGTTAATGTAGGAAAAATATGATGAACTTTTAATAAGCACTGCTAGTGGTGGTGATGGTGATGATGGTGTTGCTGCGTCTGAGCCATCGGTTGACAGCATGGCATTATGGCTGGAGGCATCGGGTGGGATGAAAGGAGGAAAAATATTTGGGATGGGATCTTTGTCAAGGGCATACACAACGAAGGGTGCTGCAACTTCATCCTCCAATGCGACTGTTTCAAGGAGGACACGACATGAGGAGCAAATGACCCAAGAATTGAGCCAACTGAAAGATTTACTTGTACAAAAGGACGAAGAATTCAAACATTTACTTGTACAGAAGGACGAAGAAATGAGAGGAGTGAAACAACAAATGCAATTGATCTTGCGACACCTCAACATCGATCCCGATGAGGTTCCTCCTATACCTCTCAATAATCCAATAGGTGATGGGCACAATGATGAGCCACACAATGATAATGAGATTGCTGCTGATGATGATGACGATTTTATTAGCAGTCCTCGCTAGTTCATTCTCTTCGGGGGTAAGCTTATGAGGACCAACTTACAACAATTACTTTATGTTGAGATCATATTGACCAACCTATGCTTATTTGGAGCTTTTCTTTGTGCAGTATGTAGTTCGAGATATTAATTTTACACTTTTCCAACGTTCAATATTGATATTGCTTTTCTTTGTGCAGTATGTACTATTCTCATCTTATGAACTTAGGATTTCCAAGAAGGCATTGGAGCACCTATATTTCTCTTGACATCTCAAGTTGGTGGTCTAGGCCTCACCCTTACAAAAGCAGACCGTGTGATTGTTGTCGATCCAGCATGGACTCCAAGGTACTACTGCTTATTCGATTGTCGGCCATGAATTCATCTACTTTTGCAAGTACATGAAAGAGGAAAGAAGTAAAGAACTTTTTTCTGTTATATTGTAAGGGCATATTCAATGCCATTCCTTTATTATGGGACTATTAACTGTTCCACAACTTTTAAGTACGAATCTGTGTACTGCTTGAGTTCTAACCCATACTTGTCATGGGTAATATCATTATGGTAGATGATACAAGTTCTTACCCAACTTTAAGCTTCACGCTGCTATGCTAAATAATATTTCATGGTACCAATATCACTGAACTAATGATGCAAAGACACATGTAAGGAACATCATGTCAGCCTTGACTTGATCTATTCATCAATTTTGACGCAAGTTAATTTGATCCCCCCTTAGTTGACTCATAAAACAATATGACGGAGCAAAAAACTACCATTTTAGTGATATAATCTTATGTTGTTTTTAGCATACTTCCTGGAAGGGAAGGTACTCTCTTGACATTAACTTCTACTGTGTACTTGGAGAAACTCATGGCACAATGCAAGTTTGTGCTTACATTCGCTGTTATTTATTTTCTGATGTCCTAATAGTGTCAGCACTTACCGCAAATTCTTTTGGTTCTTTGGTAAAAAAAGGTGTATTTATTACTTTAAACCTATGCTTGGTTTTGTTTGGGGGGGTGGGGGTGCAATTTTTCCCATCCGTTTTCCCTCCCTTCTTTTCTCAAACATAGCTTAGACATTTTGTAGCTGTTTTCATATATGAGTAAAGAAGTAGATCTTGAGCATATTTCTGTTAGTTTACGTGTGCATTTCTTATTGACAGTACGGATAACCAAAGTGTTGATCGCGCCTATCGAATTGGACAGATGAAGGATGTCATTGTGTATAGGTTGATGACATGTGGAACTATCGAGAAGAAGATATACAGAAAGCAGGTTTTGTATTGTTCAACTATGCTATGGTCTCAATTAGTGCAATGGAAAGATATTTTCGGGGCTTGTATGCAATTTAAGATAAGAGAAATGACTTAAGAACTGTTATGGTAAACAACGTTATTACCATGGAGCAGATGTTACTATGAAATGCTACAATCAGGAGCCTTAGGTGTTTCACTAGAATTCTTTGGCTTTCGTGTGTTGATGAGCACAAACGATGCATGCCTCAGAAGTACTGGATATATCTGCTACTCCATTTGTCACTGCACGCGTTATCAAATGAACAATCAAGACAAGATTTCTTTTCTAGTTTTCTCATAAAAAGATAGTTTCTTATATAATGCATTCGCATTTGTTCTTTTATGAGTGCGTGGCTCACTATATTGTATAAGTAGTGTATTGCAAACATGCAATACTTTCTCAAGGGCATGGAAACCACATAGGACGGAATGTGCCATGACACCCGTCATTTTATTGTGAGGCGTAAATTCGGAAAATGTGCTGATTCGGAGGGCTGTTTATGTTGGAACTCCACTATTGTAGATTCTTTTCGGAGCTACAGTACCTCCATCATCACGCAGCAATTGATTCAAGCATAGGCCTTAATCAATGTTAAATATATATTTTAGCAATTAATTTTGTTGCTAATTAGATTTAAAATCGAAATCGTCCCTAAACAATATTTGTCGCAAACTTACTGACAAAAAAAAATTTCCTGGCAAATTAGCGACGAATTTTGCCACGAATAGATTTCGTCGCAATTTAGCGACAAAAAAAAAGTGTCTTGGCAAATTAGCGACGACTTTTGCCACGAATACAGTTTCGTGGCGAATTAGCGAAATAGCGACAAATTTTGCTACGAATACAGTTCCTGGCAAAATTAGCAACGAATTTTGTCACGAAGAAAGTTCGTGGCAAAAAATAGCAACGAATTTTGCCACGAACTATATTCGTGGCAAATTAGCGACGAATTTTGCCACGAATAATTAGCGACGAATTTTGCCACGAATACAGTTCGTGGCAAAATTAGCAACGAATTTTGCCACGAAGAAAGTTCGTGGCAAAAAATAGCGACGAATTTTGCCACGAACTATATTCGTGGCAAATTAGCGACGAATTTTGCCACGAATAATTAGCGACGAATTTTGCCACGAATACAGGTCGTGGCAAATAGCGACGAATTTTGTCACGAATAATTAGCAACGAATTTTGCCACGAATATAGGTCGTGGCAAATAGAGACGAATTTTGCCACGAATAAAGTTCGCGGCAAAATTAGCGACGAATTTTGCCACGAATACAGGTCGTGGCAAATAGCGACGAATTTTACCACGGATATAGGTCGTGGCAAATAGCTACGAATTTTGCCACGAATAATTAGCGACGAATTTTGCCACGAATACAGTTCGTGGCGAATAGCGACGAATTTTACCACGAAATTTATTTGTGGCAAATTAGCGACGATTTTTGCCACGAATCAATTAGTCACGATTTTTGCCTCGAATTATATTTTCGTGGCTAATTTAGCGACGAAAATTACCACGAAATTTTTTTCGTGGCAAATTAGCGACAAAAATTGAAATTTTTTCGTCGCAAAAATTTGCGACGCCGAATTAGCCACGAATTTTTTTTCGTGGCTAATTTCGTCGCAAATTCTTTTAGCCACAAATTTTTCTAATTTTTTCGTGGCAAAATTCGTGACTAAAACCTTGTTTTTTTGTAGTGTTAAAAATGCTAAATGAAATGTGTTACAATGATGAAAGGCAAGCCATATCCTATACATGGTCCCATATTTTTACATTGGGAGATGAGTGGAAAAATTCCATGTTCTTAACGGAAAGGGTTTTCTTGAGAAGGGTACGTAAATTGAAATGAAGAGGGGCATTTCACTTCTCTAAATTAAACACTACAGGTAAACCATTGTTTGACTCATTTGAGCCTGAGTATTTGAATTCTTTCAAATTACTGCTATCAAGAACCAGCGTACATCGGGGCAAAATGGAATTAAAATTGACATTACAAGGTGAGAAAAATGGTTATAACTTTATGCTTTCTTGCATCAATCTTCGAGTGTCTTTATTGTAGATGAACTCAAACAAGAATTTAAGTGCCTTAAAGTGGTGAAGAGTATTTTTTTCTCTATCATACACACTTTTATCCCTTGCATAACCAAATTGAGTGTGCAAATTCATTTGTAAAACTCAGTCGGTGATGATCCTCCACTAGGGCAAGACAAATGAGTTACCAAGTTAGAAAACCATGGCCAGGAATATCCATCAAAGATGAAGACCCTGAGAGTCCAAATGTGTCGAAATGTTCAAAAGCACATGGAGCCGCAAAAGTCAGAGTTTGACTGGTCCATGAATAAATTGCAAGTAAATGTGTTACAAAAAAGGGTTAATACCACCAAAACCCCTAAATTGGTACACATGTGACAAATTTATCTCAAACTAATTTTTTAACCATAAAAAATCCCAAACTGGTACATCTGTGATAAATTTACCCTACACTAATTTTTTAACCACAAAAAATCTCAAACCGGTACATTTGTAATAAATTTACTCTCTGTTAAATTAGATTAATATCACGAAAAACTGCAAACTGGTACACTTCTGACAAAAGGAGGATAAAACCTTAAATTGGTACAACCATCAACTGCCACGTGTCATCTAATTCATAAATTTGATAGTAAAATTTAACGGAAACTAACGGATGATAAAATTGTCATTGGTCTACCAGTTTGGTGTCTTTGGTGATCAAAATATTAGTTTGGGATAAATTTATCCTAGGTGTACCAGTTTGGGGTTTTTCGTGATATTAACCCTACAAAAAAAAGGCCAAAGGCTTAATAAAGAGCGAAAGATGTGGCCGAAGGCCAAGCCAACAAAAATCATCCCAACGAAGCCGTTAAGCTGTTGCGACCTTCCATGAGATGAACCACCAAAGGGAAAGTTAATGAATTACTAAGCTTATATATTTAGTGCGGGCTCTTCCAAACTCATACCAATTCGAGTTTTAATTTAATCAATTTAAACATGCAAATCATTTTATTCGAGAGTTGCCACCAATTTATTGTGGGTCAATTAGAAACCGAAGTAAAGTGTGGGCAAACGTTTTACTTCTACGAATTAGAGATTCTTGGATACTAGGACTTGATTACTATAGATTAATTTAACGCTCTTTTGGTACATTTTCTCTTTATTTCAAAAATGTTTGGCAAGTAGTTCCGATCGATTTTAAGCTCAAACCTCTAACATGCAGTGGGTGATCATGCGGGTGCTCAATCAATAATGTAACATTCAATAATCAAAGTGATGAGTAAATTGCAAAGAATAGGCAATAATTTGAATACCTTAGGCAAGCAAAAGCCCTATTAATTCTGGTAATGATCTGCAAGATGTCAATTAAAAATGCATACGTAGCCTAAATATGACTTCCAAATGATTATGCAATTTTAACAAATTCTTTTTTTTGTGTGGTTTTTTATTGTTTATGAAAGCTAAATTATATGTGATTTTAATCTAAGTTTAAAATGCATCAATAATTAAACTAGATATGCAACATAACCTAACTTTAATGAGGGGCAAAATTATGAACTAAATTAACATGACATGCAATTACTATGGCATTGAATTGATGACAAAGAATTTACGATATGGCAATGATGACATGGCAATGCGACTACGTGGCATGTGATAACATGGTAATGATGAATGGCAATGTATGCAACTAATTCTATATGATTTATGAATGTTATTCTTGTGATCTTCTTTTAAATTTAAAATAGGAAACTACCTAAATGTGATTACCTAATATGAACGAGGAAATAATTTAGAGTAAATCCTATTTTAAATTAGGCATTTTCTTAATTACTACATGGCTTCTAAATATGCAATTTTTTATATTTTCCATAATAGGAAAATTTAATGATATGCCATTTATAAGCCCACATAATCAAATATTCACCAAAGTCAAAATAGGAAAGAAAAGGCAATTTGAATTCGATCTTAGGTCTTAAAGATTGAAATCTTGATTATACGCATGACCCGAACAAGAAATTTCCTATTTAAGAATCACCTAAAATCTCACAACAAATCATGCTAGAATCACAATTTAGGTAATAAGATATTCAAATTGAGTTTGGTTTTTTAGGTTTCCTCAATTGGCAGATTGTTTTCCAACGGTGACTGACGGCGAGGATATTATGTCTGAAGTATATAAAACTTCAGTTCCTTAGTCCAAAGTTGCAACTCGTCAAGCTTTCTCAAGCCCATCATCTTCAGTGTCAACATTCACCAATGCTGTCTTCTCGTTGCCTCTTCCTCCTCGCCTCGATCACCTCCTTCCTCTCTCTCTCATCCTCCCAAACCCAACCTCCTGCTCCTTCCTCTCTCATCTTCCCCGTCGTGAAAGATGAGGCATCTCGCCAATACTATACCACCATCACCCTCGGCACGCCGCCTTCTCCCGTGAAGGCGGTGCTCAACCTCTTGGGTTCATACTCGTGGTTCGACTGCGGCGCCGCCCGCTACAACCCATCGTCGTCCTCATCCCACCACCCCATCCTTTGCAGCTCTGCCAGGTGCAGGGCCGCCCGAGGTGGCGGCTGCTTCAACGACACGTGCAGCGTGTACATGTACAACCCGCTGACGGAGGTTGTCATCGGCACCGGGCTCGGCGAGGATGCGGTGGTGGTGCACCACACCGATGGGATCAAGTACACGTCGAGAGGAGTAATAGTAAGTGTGATTTTGTTATAAAAAAAAAACTTTGAGGAATGAGCAAATGAAAGTGCATTTGATATCAGAGACCACTGGAAATCAATATCAAAAGCTAAGTTTAGTATATTATCATATTTGAATACCCAAGTGCATATATATATGGAGACATCACATTAAATAGGTCTCAATTTCAAATGTCGTAAATTGTAAATTCTTTGTATATTGTCAAATTTTTGTAATGTAGAAATGAAAAAAGAAAAATAAAAAATTTTAATTGTGCACTCATTGTTCTCTTCCATTTTCCGCAGCAACTTCCTTTCTCTTGCGTGCCTTCGGAGTTCACGCGCGGCATCTCCACTGCCGGCAATGGCGTGATCGCGCTTTCCATCAGACCAACCTCGCTCGCTACAAAGCTCTCAGCCGACCTCGACCTCCCCCACAAGCTTGCTCTTTGCCTCCCATCTTCATCATCCTCCTCCGGCCACGGCCATGGCGACTTCTATGTCGGCGGTGGCCCATATTTCAGGCCTCCGATCAAACAGGACCTCTCGAAGTCGCTCCTTGTCGCTCAGCTGCTTATCAATCCCGTCAGCCAACCCTCTCATGGCTCGGCATCTCCGTCCGACGAGTACTTCGTTGACGTGACTGCCATCAAGGTCAATTTCGCTCCTGTCAATTTCAAGGCATCGGTTTTAGCTATCGACAAGAACGGAAGCGGTGGGACCAAAATTAGTACTCTGACTCCGTACACGGTCCTCCACTCGGACATCTATAGACCTCTGATTGCAGAGTTTACCAGGCAGGCAGTTGAGAAGAAGATGAGGAGTGTGACATCCTCAAATTCGACCATATTCGGAATGTAATGAAATGATGATTTTAATCGATGCACTATTAGTAATTCTCGCTCTGAATTGATCACTCATGAGAGACTAACCGATTGGGAAAGGCTGTTAATGAATTAAATACGCACGACCTGAAAACTCGATCAGGGATTGACAATTCGACCATAAGGATTGACGAGGGACAATTTTGAGCCATTATAGACCGATCAAGGGATGGTTATAGAATGATTCGCCAATAGCATACAATCGGATCGCGGGTGATTCCGTTTGACCGTTGTATGTATTGCGAACGATCCTAAACCCATTGACTGATGATCGCGTACTTTGGAACTGACGATTGATCCCTCGCAATTACATGACAATCGAGATCATCCATGATTCGAGAAAACTTAAACGTGGTTTGATACCGAATCAACCACGGGTCGAATTCGCGTAACTCCTAAAAGCCGCCCGTTAGTTTGAGATATACTAAAGTCGCAATTGATTGATTTTTACCACGAATTAGAATCCGAATTTGGATGTCGAATCTTCGAGGATTTCAAAACTAAATTATTGGACACCGCCTCATTGATTTGCTCGTTTATCGGTTTGCTCGACATTCTCGGAAAAGGATTTAACGGGCCGAGAATTTGAGCCCACGAGGGAGTGGGCCAGACGAAGGCACATTGGGCCTCAAGCCCAATGTGATTCGGCCACATGGGCCCAAGGCAAACCCAAGTGGCCCAATTTAGCCCATTGAATCCAATTTCAGGCCCAATTGCAATTCAAGCCCAAGTTTGAGCCCATTAGCATTTTCAAGCCCATTCATAATCCGTTTGAGCCCAAATTCGGTTATACGAGCCCGTACGAAATTCTAGCTCGTATACGCGTATAAGTATTTTTATACCTTGTGAAATTACCAAAATACCCTTCTTGCATTTATGACAAAGAAACCAAAGAAATGATGAAGAAGACTTTGGGGGTTTGGCATTTATGTGGGGGGAATGATGATGAAGACTTATAGGGCATGCATTAAAGAAGAGAAATATCTCTCTTGTTCCCTCTCTTCTCCCTCCCGCGTCCATTCCTCTCTCTCTCTCCTTTTTCCTCTTCCACGGCAACTTCCCCTTTTCTCTTTTTTTTTTTGTTGTTCCTTCGGCTGAGCAAACAGAACAGCCCCCTTGCTGTTGTGTTGCTGCTGTGTTGCTGCCGTGGAGCAACCAACAGCCACGCCGTGACTCCCCGCCGCCGTGCGCAACCCGTCCGTGCCGTTTTCCGTCGCCAAATCGCCTCACCGAAGCCAAACCGATTCTGTGGCTGCTGTCCAGCCGAGACCCAGTCGTCGTCGTCTTTCCGTGTCGATTCCGGACCGTGCAAAGCGTAGCCCTCGCCGCCGCCGACGCACCGGTGTCTCCGGAATTTTAAACGGGTGAGTTATCGCCCTAATCCCTTGCTTAGTAGGTTAAACTTCATTAGAGCGGATTAGTTTAAGTTAATTGTGCTTAGTACTAATTGATTAGGGATTAGTGATAATCTATTGGATTAATTATATTATTATTTTATTAATTTTCGGAAATTAAATAATAATATTTTATTAATTTTCGGAATTAAAAATATTATTATTTTATTAATATTTTTGTGGAAATTCCGAAATTAAATTGTGTTTATTTTAGGCTTAAATTGTGATGCCTAAGTTAGAATTTGCCTTATATATTGGTTTGTATGCCAAATTGAATTGTTTGGTTAATTTTGAGTATAGCATGTCGGGTATTTAATTAATAAACCCTGAGGTGTCGGGTTTATTTGTTAAGTTTTATGTGAGAATTATGTTGTGTATACTTGAATATAGAAGCATGCCAAGTTTGGAAATTTATTGATATGTGCATAATCACGTGTGAATATTTTAGTACATTTTTTTTATGTGGAGAAGTTGGATATTTCAACGTATTAGCACGGATTATGTTTGCATTGGCTATTGAAAATTATAATGATGGAACCTGAGTGTTGCTATGTGTGCATGATCACCTAAAGGTTCCTTTCGTGCCCGGTTATATCGGAAAACCGTATACCGGATGACCGCCAACCTAGGGTTTGGCCGTGGCCCTAACGGGTGTCCCCAATTTGGTAATTGGAAGCCGTCGCTGGTAGCAGGGGAGACGTAGTCATTCGCGAATCGGATTCGGAATGAACCCATTTATGGGATATGCCGTCATTGTGGTTGGGTGAGACGATGCCGTGCCCGATGGGGCGGGACGATGCCCGGATATACCGGAAGACTGCCAACCTGAGGCGAATATCACGGGTTGTGCCGTAGCCCCTGGTGTGGCTGTAGTAATTGGAATACGCGTGAAAGATTATGGTGGCATTGCGCTTGATTATGAGATGAAATTGCTAGGCACGGTATGGGACGGGCCGAAGCGGTTTCACTTTATAATCGGGACACGTGTGAATGCATTGTACTTGAGAAAATTGATGCGTATTCTGATTGTATTATATGCTTATTGCATTATTATGGCATACGGTGAATCATAATGTACAGGGCGTGTGCATGTGCCCAGGGCAAGGTAAGGTTGCTTGTGATTGTGTTGTGAAGTACCTGTATGTTCTATATTGAGTTGTCTGCCATCGATGTATTGCATGTGTTAGGTACATCCGAGATGAGTTGACCTCCTAGTCGAGGCTTAGGTCGTGAACTCGCTGAGATTTATCTCATTCGTTGTTGTTAACCACTTTTCAGGTCATCCGATATGAGTACACGTACCGTTCCTTGGGAACTGGCTTTTTGAGGGAGAACACTTTTTGAGGTTATCCTCGTAGATAGAGGAGCTAGGTTAACCCGTACCTGTTCTGGTTGTAATCGGGAAGGTCCGCGTGGTGTTCTTGTAATATATTAACCCGATGTATTGCTGATGATGTTGTTTGAATTGAGGTGTGTTTTCCTGACTATCCCTGTTGTTATGATTGGGAGTTTTTAATTCGCTTTCGCATGCGTTTAATCATTAGTAATTCGATTGGGTCGGCGATGCATCCTGGGACGTCGCATTTATAACGACCTTGGTGGGATGTTAGTGCGCTCGAGGGTCGGGGCGTGACATCCCTGTTTAAGTGGTATCAGAGCATGGTTAGCTCGATCCAAGTTTGGTCGATACCTGGAGTGATAAGGTGCGATGAGTTTTGGGATAGTTAGCTAGGAAAACGTCTTGTGCCTGTGCTTGATTACTTGATTTTATTGTTAGAAGCGGGTTGTTCATGACTTCTAATTCCTTGTTGGAATTGGAAAGTAGGTTTCTGTGAGAATCCTGCGAGATGAGCAATCCTGAGCAAAGGATTCCTAGGAGAAGGGCAGCTTTAAATCAAATTGGTACTGGAGGAAGGGCTCAAGAGGATCCCAGGTTAGATAGGATTATGCAAGCCCTAGAGACTTTGGTAGGGCAGCGAGCTCAGGACCAAGCTGCAGCTCCTGCTGTTCCTGCCGCCGCACCTGTTGATGTCCCGTTATCTGGGATCGGGATTGGGGATCGACCAATGCATAAGCTGGTCGAACAATTTCTGAAGCTAAAGCCGCCGGTTCTCTCGGCGTAGGTGATCCGTGTAAGCAACCTCCGGGTTAGAGAATTGGAAAAAGGTTTCGCCTTACTTCGGTGTTCTGAAGAAGAAAAGGTGACGTTAGCGGTTTACCAGCTGCAGGGTAACGCTAGCACTTGGTGGGAAGCCACTCAAAGAAGAGTCTTTCCTGAAGGTACGGTTCCAGGGTGGAATGCCTTCGTGGAAGCATTTAACGGGAAATACTTCTCAGACTGCGCAAGAGAGCGGAAGATGGCTGAGTTCCAACAACTTCATCAGAATCATCTGTCAGTTGATCAGTACGAGGCGAGGTTCGCCGAGCTGTCAAAGTATGCCCCGAGATTAGTCGAAGAACCGATCGATAAAGCAAGGAGATTCCGAGATGGTCTGAAACCGGAAATCAAGGATCAACTAGTACCCTTGAACCTGAAGAATTATGATGAACTGTATGAACGGGCTCAGCTGATTGAGAGGAACATGGCAGAACGTACAGCCGCATCTGGATCGCGGTTTGTACCTAATCGGGATAATCGTCGATTCGGGAAGGGACCGATGATTGGAGGAAGGTATCCTATTCCACCCAACAAGAAGAGTGGCGTTGGGAAACCGGCATACAACTCCAATGCCGCGTGTCGATTTTGTGGGAAAAGGCATGGGAACGGCCCTTGCCCAAACAAGACAGTGACAGTGACGTGCTTTAACTGCGGCCAACAAGGCCATTATTCGAGGAACTGTCCCCGTCAGAGGATGCCATCTCAACAAACCCAAGTGGGGCAACAAGCTAGCAATGCTTCGCAAAATCACCTAAATCGGCCACAGGCGCAAGGAAGAGTATATGCTATGGCCAGAAAGGAGGCGGAAGATTCGCCTGGTGTGGTCACAGGTACGGTCTCTCTTCAAGATTATGCTGCATATGCACTATTTGACCCGGGAGCTTCGCATTCATTCATCTCTGAACAATTTGTCAGATTAGTGGGGCTTAAACCGAAACCTTTGGATGTAGTTCTTCATGTTACCACTCCACTAAAAGAGGAAATGTTAGTTACAGTAGGATGTCTAGACTGTAAAATAGTTATTTGTGGTAGAGAGGAATTGATAGATTTACCGGTCATAGCGATGTATGACTTTGATGTCATAATCGGAATGAATTGGCTCACTAAGCAACGAGCTATAATGGATTGTTACCGTAAGGTAATTCAGTTAAATCCATTGAATCGTACCAGTTACGAGTTTGTGGGAAGCAGAGGAGGAACCTCGATCCCTTTGATTTCGTCGATTGAGGTAACTAGGCTATTGGATGATGGATGCCAAGGTTATCTAGCGACCGTAGTTAATTCATTGGTTGAGGAACCAAGAATGGAGGACATAGCTGTTGTGCGTGATTTTCCAGATGTCTTTCCGAATGAATTACCGGGATTACCACCTGAAAGAGAGATAGAATTTATAATCGAGTTGGCTCCTGGGACAGAGCCAATTTCTAGAGCGCCTTACAGAATGGCATTATCAGAACTGAAGGAATTGAAGGTACAGATGCAAGAGTTGCTAGATAAAGGATTCATTCGCCCTAGTGCATCACCTTGGGGAGCACCTGTATTATTCGTGAGGAAGAAAGATGGTTCGTTACGTTTGTGTATCGACTATCGACAGTTGAATCAGGTGACCATCAAGAACAAATATCCGTTGCCAAGGATAGATGACCTATTCGATCAACTGCAAGGGGCGTCGGTATTTTCCAAGATAGACTTGAGGACAGGCTATCATCAATTGAGAATTAAGAAGGAGGATATACCGAAGACAGCATTTCGGACTCGGTACGGTCATTACGAGTTTACGGTGATGCCGTTTGGATTGACTAATGCCCCAGCTGCTTTTATGGACTTAATGAACAGGGTGTTCAAAGCATATTTGGATCAATTTGTCATAGTATTCATTGACGACATACTGGTGTATTCGAAGAGCCCTGAGGAGCACGAGCAACACTTAAGGATGATTTTACTAACCTTAAGAGAACACGCACTTTACGCCAAGTTTAGTAAGTGTGAGTTCTGGCTCAGTCGAGTAGCTTTTCTTGGTCATGTGATCTCTGGTGAAGGAATCTCTGTGGATCCAACAAAGATTGAGGCAGTTATGAACTGGCCGAGACCGACAACGGTAACGGAGATTAGGAGTTTTCTAGGTTTGGCCGGCTACTACAGACGATTCGTAGAAAGGTTCTCTGCGATCGCTACTCCTATGACACATCTACTGAAGAAGGAAGCAAAGTTCGAATGGACGGATAAGTGTGAGAGGAGTTTTCAAGAACTTAAGCACAAGTTAACTACCGCTCCAGTGCTGACGATACCATTCGGTCCTGGAGGGTATGAGATTTATAGTGATGCGTCACTTAAAGGATTAGGATGCGTTTTAATGCAACATGGAAAAGTAATTGCATACGCGTCCCGACAGTTAAGGCCACATGAGTTAAACTACCCGACTCATGACTTGGAGCTAGCGGCGATCATTTTTGCCCTAAAGATTTGGAGACATTATTTATACGGTGAAAAGTTTCAGATTTACACGGATCATCAGAGTTTGAAGTACTTATTTTCTCAAAAGGAATTGAATATGAGACAGCGCCGATGGATGGAACTTCTCAAGGATTATGACTGCGACATCCTGTATCATCCAGGAAAGGCTAACAAAGTAGCGGATGCGCTTAGTCGAAAGTCTGCCATCGCGCACCTGATGATTAAGGAATGGACTCTACTTGAGAGAGTACGAGATTCAGAGTTCAAGTTTGAAGTTGGTCACCTTTCAAGTCTGTTGGCTACCTTAAGAATCGAGCCAGAGGTTCAGGCTAAGATTAAAGCGCTGCAGTTAATGGATCCTGAAATTCAGAAGATTCTGCAAGGGGATGCAGATAAAAGAAAACCTGATTTTCAGGTGACTGAGGATGGAACTTTAAGGTTTCGCGGACGACTGTGTGTACCCGACAATATGGAACTCAAAGATGAGATCCTATCAGAAGCACATCGCAGCAAGTACAGCATTCATCCAGGTAGTACCAAGATGTATCAAAATCTACGTCAACACTATTGGTGGAGTGGCATGAAAGTGGATGTAGCCAAGCACGTAGCCAGGTGCTTGACGTGCCAACAAGTGAAAGCGCAGCATTGCAAACCAGGTGGACTGCTACGACCACTTGAGATCCCAGAATGGAAATGGGAACACATCACAATGGATTTCGTGATGGGTTTACCAAGGAGTCAGAGAGGTAATGACTCTATTTGGGTCGTAGTGGATAGACTGACTAAGTCTGCTCATTTCATTGCTGTACGAAAGGACTTTACCATGGACAGATATGCGGAATTGTATGTACGCCATATTGTTCGCCTTCATGGAGTACCGGTGACGATTACTTCGGATCGAGATCCCAAGTTCACCGCTACATTTTGGAAAAGTCTTCAAGTTGCCATGGGAACGAAGCTGCAGTATAGTACAGCTTATCATCCGCAGACGGATGGTCAATCCGAGAGAACGATTCAAACTCTCGAGGATATGCTGCGAGCTTGTGTTTTGGATTTCAAGGGCAGTTGGGAGGAACAACTGCATCTCGTTGAGTTCGCTTACAACAATAGCTATCAACAGAGTATTAGAATGGCACCATTTGAAGCGTTGTATGGTAGAGCCTGCAGAACTCCGATATGTTGGGATGAGGTTGGAGAAAGGAGAATAACGGGTCCAGAGTTGGTACAGCAATCAGTTGAGGCAGTTAAGGTCATCAGAGAAAGGCTTAAGACAACTCAGAGTCGTCAGAAAAGCTACGCAGACAAACGACGAAAACCTTTGGAATTCCAAGTAGGTGATCACGTCTTCCTCAAAGTGTCACCTATGCGAGGAACTTCACGATTCGGCAAGAAAGGAAAGCTAAGCCCAAGATATGTTGGACCGTTTGAGATTTTGGAGAGGATTGGAATCTTAGCTTATCGTCTAGCTTTACCGCCGAAACTGTCTCAAGTACATGACGTCTTTCACGTATCGATGTTGAGAAAGTATGAACCTGATCCGACCCACGTGCTGAATTACGAAGACATAGACGTGGACGATAAAGTGTCGTATGTGGAAAGACCGGTACGGATTGAGGATAGAAAGGAACACGTGCTACGGAACAAGACGATTTCATTGGTCAAGGTGATTTGGCAACACCACGGAACGGAAGGAGCAACTTGGGAAAGCGAAGAAGTAATGAGGCATCAACACCCCCATCTTTTTGAATAGTATGGTTATTTGTAAATTTCGAGGACGAAATTTCTTTAAGAGGGGAAGAGTTGTGACATCCTCAAATTCGACCATATTCGGAATGTAATGAAATGATGATTTTAATCGATGCACTATTAGTAATTCTCGCTCTGAATTGATCACTCATGAGAGACTAACCGATTGGGAAAGGCTGTTAAGGAATTAAATACGCATGACCTGAAAACTCGATCAGGGATTGACAATTCGACCATAAGGATTGACGAGGGACAATTTTGAGCCATTATAGACCGATCAAGGGATGGTTATAGAATGATTCGCCAATAGCATACAATCGGATCGCGGGTGATTCCGTTTGACCGTTGTATGTATTGCGAACGATCCTAAACCCATTGACTGATGATCGCGTACTTTGGAACTGACGATTGATCCCTCGCAATTACATGACAATCGAGATCAT